CTGGCAAGTCCAGCAGCGAGGTGTCTGGCGGCGGCATCCCCAGCAGCGGTTCCCTGCAGAGGAAGAAGCTCATCTCTATCTGCGACCACTGCAAGATCAAGATGCAACTGGTGGCTGATCTGCTGCTGCTGTCGAGCGAGACCAGGCCGGTGAACACGGAGAGCCTGTCTGTCTTCGGTGAGTCCTTCGAGAAGTGCAGGGACACGATCATTGCCAGGACCAAAGGACTCTCCATCTTGACCCATGACGTCCAGAGCCAGCTCAATATGGGACGCTTCGGGGAGGTGGGGGAAAGCCTGATGGAGATGGGGGAGCTGGTGGTCTCCCTGACTGAGTGCTCTGCCCACGCTGCCTACCTGGCTGCAGTGGAGACTCCGGGGGCCCAGCCTGCTATGCCTGGCTTGGTGGATCGCTACAAGGTGACCCGATGTAGGCATGAGGTGGAGCACGGCTGCGGGGTCTTGAAGACCACCCCTTTGGCAGATATGAGCCCTCAGCTCCTGCTGGAGGTTTCTCAGAACATGTCCAAGAACTTGAAATTCCTGACAGACGCCTGCGTGCTGGCCAGTGAGAAATCCAAGGATAAATTTGCGAAGGAGCAGTTCAAACTCAGTGTCAAATGTATGAGCACCAGCGCCTCTGCCCTCTTGGCGTGTGTCAAGGAGGTCAAGACTTCACCCAGCGAGCTGACCAGGAACCGATGCGTCTTGTTCAGTGGACCTTTGGTGCAGTCTGTCTACGCTCTGGTGGGCTTTGCCACTGAGCCCCAGTTTTTGGGTAAAGCTGCCACCATTAATCCAGAGGGCAAAGCTGTGCAAACTGCCATCCTAGGAGGAGCCATGAGTGTGGTATCTGCTTGTGTGCTCCTGACCCAATGCCTCAGGGATATAGCCCAACACCCCGAAAGTAGCACCAAAATGAGCGATTACAGGGAAAGGTTGAGGAACTCAGCTTGCGCCGTCTCGGATGGTTGCAACCTGTTATCTCAGGCACTAAGAGAAAGATCTTCACCCAGGACTTTACCGCCAGTGAACTCCAATTCTGTGAATTAACCCCCACATCTTCTATTTTGATCCCAGTCATTGCTAAAGGAGAATAATATCCCACCTCCTCACCCCTTTTTTGTATACCAAAGAATTTGCTTGGATGAGCCCAATGCTTTGATTTCATGTGGTGAAGAAGCAGAACGTATTCAAATTATACGTACCAGTAAAGGTAGCCAGTTTTGGCTTCTTTTTATTTTACTTTAAAGTCAAGCAATTATCTGCAGATAAATTTTCCTTTATTCAACAAGGTCTTCACACAAATGGTAATAACAACTGCTTAAAAGTTTTTTATATTTGGGGAGGTGGGGGTATCTTAAAAAAGAAGGAAAAAAAAAAAAAGCTTTAATCGCGCTGGGTGCGGTTTTTAAAGTTTGTCTTGTCTTGTCTTCCGAAATTTCCCTTCTAAATTTTACTGTTCGGTTGTGCAGGAAAAGGGTTACCTCAGTTCTCACTCATTTTAAAAAATGAAAAACCCCAACACATAGATGATGGATGTAGCTACTATTTTGTTTGGTTTTGTTTTGTATGACTTTTTTTTTTTTTTTTTTTTTTATTTTGCATCAAGTGTTAGGTTAGAAGTGCATTTGGTGTGTAGGAGTGGAAGGACTGGAGGTTGTGATTATGTTTTCCATGTGTTGATTTCCAAACTGGGGGAAAAGCTACTGTGAGTGTTTAAACAAACAAACAAAAAAATTACACTATAACAAAAGTGATTTTTAATTTTTTTCCAATGTCAGTTTTTATCTTGCATGTACTGGAGTATTTATTTCATCTATTAAAATGTTATGTTTCTCAGATGTCTTTCTGTGAATCTCTTAATACTTGAATAATTGAACAACCAGGCCTGTTTGCATTGTATGTCATTTCCCCCAGGGAATGGGTGGTACAAATGCAACTGTAGTTCTAGACAGCAGCATACAGGCTTCAATTCAGTTCTTTTATTTTCATAAATACTGTCCCTCCCCCAGTCCCACCCCTCCTCCTCAGGACGCCTCTGACAGGGATACTCTGTGGTTGTATTTACGGAAAGCTGGACAGTGCTGTGCGCGTTGGGATCGCTCCGTCTGCGGAGCTGCAGCGGGGCATAGGCTGGCTTTGTTCGTCCGTGTCAGCGTTCTGTGCTATCTTTTGAGGCATGCTTGTATTTTAACTCTTGCAGATGTTGTGGGCCATCTGTGTTAAATTTGTGGGTTTCCATGTTCATTTATTTCTTGAAAAACTACCCTGCTGTTTAGCCCTGCTTGTTCCGCGTGTCTGCTTCGGAGCGCGAAGGTTTGCCGGAGTGGGCCCTTTGCCTCCTCAGAGGTCTGTGGTGGAGCTGCTCAGTACTGATTTCTGTCAAAGTGGTTCGAGTTTGGTGTTGTAGATAACGGGAAAATTTATCTAACTTTTGAGGCCCAGCTCACCTCCAGTTGAATTCCTTGGGAACTGTGAGTGGACCTTGTATTATACTGCAGTAATATTATACTGCAGTAGTTCCCATAATTGCAATGATGGGTTTTTTTCCTCCTGGTCTTTGTGGACCTGTGGGATCTGTTGCCTTGTATGTGTTCCATGAGAGGTAAATAGAAGAGCCAGTCTTCTGTTTGTCTGCCCAGCTCCATTGCATAATTGGATTTTTTTTTAACAGGTCTGCAAAATGATCAATGTTGAAAGCTACTGGAGAATGTTCCTTAAACATGTTGTAACCATGGTTTAAACCTTTACAAGTGCTGTCCTGTTTATTCCTTTGAAGAAGTAAACCTTTTGGGTTTGGGTATGGAACAGTCCTGGAGTAGTGAAACATCTTCCTTTTATAGCATTAGTGTTTCTCTTGCATGTGATGCTTTTACTTAAATTTCAAAGGGGAGCGAAACATTACTGGGTAGTGGACAAATGCATCCTGTTGAAGGAGATACAAGCTGAGCTTACATATCCGTTTCTTCAAGGTTAGAAAAAAATAATTCCTTGACTTAAGTACAGTGGACCCCAGTATTAGGTTTTGTTTATTTTTAAATGAAACTTTTCCGGCTTCAGTAAATTGTATGATTAGGACTTTTCTTCATGAAAAAACAGTCCAAGCTACGTTCCTCTCCGGGGTATGATTTTCTGCCTTATCTCTGATGCAATATAAGCCTAGCAGTGTGTGCTGCGGAGGCCTGGATGTCCTGGATTTTTCATAACTAAATGTGGACACCATGCTGTTCTAACTTCGACTTAGACGCCTCCACAGGTAGTTGCTTGGGGGCTGTCCGACATGTGCACGCGCACACGTTCTCCCATCTGGATGGCAGGAACAGCTGTAGGATCCGGAGGGATTCGCGGGCGGCCAAGGCCATCTGCAGGGAGGTCCGGTGCTTCTGTAGCGTTTGCGGGTGTCTGCTCAGCTGCCCTTTGTGTCTCCCTCCCTTGTCGCACGTCTCCTGGAAGCCGAGATACCGTCCCAATCTACCCTTCCTCCTTTTCCGCAGTTGCATTGGGGGGAAGGAGGGAAAAAGGGAGTGTAGCAAACGTAATGCTTTCAGGATGTACAATCTGGGGCTGCAGACAGGAGGTGAGGAATGGGCTCCACCCTTCCTTTCCATAGATCCTAGATGGGGCAGAACTTCGTGCGGGACGTGCGGAGGTGGTGCCGGGGAGGCTGCGGGGCCGCGCTGCCCGGGGCGGGCGCAGGTGCTGGGGCGGCATCCCTTAGCTCCAGCTCTTTTGAGGGACCGTGACCTACATCTGTGCCGCCTGCTTCCAGAGAGAAACCAGAGGGTTCTGAAGGGCAGCTCGGCAGCACGTCTGACAACAACAAAAAAGTAACGTCCCACTGGCTCTTTTGATGTTTCTACTTAATAATTTTTGGCGCTGCTGAACTAATTAGGTTCTTTTTGATTCATTTATACATTATTGAGGTTATATGGATCGCAGTACAGCCTCTTTATTACCTCTGCATATGAAAGGCAAGATATTATTAATGGTGATGGTGCCCATTTTTGTTGTGGTAAGATTTTGTTTTAAGTGGTTTAGTGCAATTTTTGTTTTAACAAGGATACTGCAGATTCTTCTCCCCTTTCTGATTAGATTTTGAAGTACATACATACATATATAAATAACTATGCATCTTCTTTTTCCACTTTTAACGCTGAAGGAAAACAAACTACTCTGGATCTCCCTTTGCTTTTGAGATGTGTGGGTCTTGGGAGGATTCAGTTTTATAAAATGTATTGTAAAATGTAGCCAGGCCGTGATTTTTTGTTAACAGGCTGATTAAAAAAAAAAATAAAAAATCTATATATGTACGCAAATAGTAAATTAGCCAAAGTAACTGACTGTAACATTTAAAACAACAGTACTTTTAACACTTAAAAATGTTCAATCATTTCGTTCCGGAGTAGAACTCACACAAAGGGAGCCGTGTGCTCCCTGGCCTCAGCTCAAGAGAGTATCTGTCAAAATCTGTGCTATTCGTGTAATTAGCACAGGAAAGTTTAAAAAAAAAAAAAAAAAAAAAAAGGGCTTTTGATGTGAACAAGTACAACTGTTTTTATGCACTCTTGAGTAAATGATTAACAGGAGAATGTCTATATGTTTGTAAGGACTTAATGTATATTGTGATGATTTATTTGGAATGTATTCCTTTAGAATATTAATTCTGAGATAAGATGTTGTTTCAGTAGTTATATCCATGTTGGTCATTTACTTTGTACTCCATGGGACAGAAAAGTGCCTAATGGACTAGTTTTCAGGGTGCAGTTGCAGACTGTGTCGAGGTCACTGATTATCACTTGGCATCATACTTCAGGCCCTTGTTGCCCAAATGCTTGCGCCATTTAGGTCACCAGGTACTGTCACTATTTCAACATAGGCTTAGACAAGCATGAGGCGTGTTTTCTGATCTGGAACCTTGGTGATTTTGACAAAAAGAGAACTTAGTATTTCAGGGTGCTTATATCACATATGTCATGGATCTACTTGAATAGTGCAATTAATAAAAGGGTTAACTTATTTCTAAACACATTATGCAATGCACGTTTGTGGCCAAAAATAACACTATCCCCACTGAAAGAGAATTAAGCTTATTTTTTAAATGTAAGAATTTTTTAACAGGGAAGAAGTTGTCAATTTTGTATTGTCTGTGAGTTTGATATTACCTTTTGGTTGCTACTTCATCATAGCAAAGTTCATTGTTGATTGAATACAGCAGCTAAATCTCCGAATTTGAGATTGGAGCAATGTTTTTTTTCTGATTCTAAAAAAAAATTCTGTAAGACAACCAGTACACTAGTAGCAAAATGCTATTGAAAAGCAAATACACTATTTAAGGGAACTTGCAAATGTAAACCCATGTTATTTTTCAAAACTAAGGGGAAAAAAAAAAAAAAAAGAACATGGGTCAGATAATTCCCTTCAATTTTTACCACAGGAAATGATCAAAGTAGCAGAAAATCTGCTCTTTTTGGCCAAACTTCTGTCAGAGACAGAAGGGGTCGAGCCAACACATGGTGTATGCAGCCTTGCAGCAAGAGGGGATGTGGCTGATGGGAAAGGAGGTGGAACCAGGGAAAATCTGTAGGGTAATACGTCCTATTAAACCCACAGGAATTTTCCTATTCTAGATAAAACAGAGGCTGATCCAAGGAAGGAAATCTCAAACACCACCACCTTTCTGTCCGGGCTGTTAGATGCTTGTGAGTGAAGATGTGGGGCCAGGAGTGTTTGGGATGCTCTGCGTCGAGCAGCTGTATTGCTGTAGGGAACCAAGGGCCTGTAGGGTTGCCCTGAGATATGTCAGAAGTACAGGCAAAAATGCCTACCTGCCTGAACAGTTTGCTGGGAAATGAAGGGGTTGGTTTTTATTTTGTTTTTCTCTTTTCTTCCCTGTCAGGCTCTTTCTAGACTTTACAAGCAGGAGCAGATGGTAGAGACCAGTACATTTTATTTCTTTGTTCTTGCTGCCTGTGAAAGGTGCCAGATGGGCAATGATAAAGGTAGAAATTCTCTTCCTGTAGCCGAGGATAGGGAAAATGCAGAGCTTCAAGGCTGCCCTATCCTCACAGGATCATCATAACATGGTTTTTTGGGCCCACTGGTTTCAGTCTTTGACTTTTTGCCAAGAAACTGACAGAAAATCCCAGTGGCAACTTGACAGGGGCATCAAGAGCGTTAAAATATTTCACACAGGACACCAAACCACCACTGGGTTTGGATCATTCACAAACGGGCCAAAAAATAGACAGTGCAAGGCCAGATCCTTCATATGAATAACTTGGAAAATTAAATACTGTGTACCTTGAGGGGTGTTTATTTACTTGGGAATTATGAATTATCAAAATTTTTATATAAGCAGTTCAAAGGTATATTTAATTAACATAATTAGCAGCAGTATTCTGAACCATTTTCTTAATGAAGATGGACATCTATGGACACGAAGGGCTTCATCTATGACTCAGTGATGTCTGTGTAATTAAATATTTATATTTTCCACAGACTATGTTAAATGTTAGGGGTCTATTTGTGTTGCAAAGCGAGGAATTATATATTGATTTTCATTAATCTGAATCTTTTCCTAGAACTGGTTTTATTGTACTGGAGTCCTTTGAACCTAAGGGGATTTTTTTTTTTTTTTTTTTTTTTTTAAACCACACTGTGTATGATGCTATATTCTGACAAAGTCAAAAGCAGCATTTCAAGATTAATGCAGAGATTCCTGGGGTCTTTTGTCAGCTTGCCAGACTCTTGTTCCTGTTCTAACTTAATTTTTTATAATTTCCTTTTATGTTAATAAAGGCTTCTTGTGGCTTTAAAAGTCGAAATTGTCTTACTCCATA